GGACTGTAACACTAGCATTGCTTAGGTGACTCAGACCCCTTCTACGCTGCCATATAATCCAGATTATCATATCAGAGAGTCCACATTATCTGCTTTGAACTGGATTATATGACTCTACACTGCCATATAATCCAGTTCAAAGCATACAATCTGGATTTTATATGGCACTGTAGAAGGGGCCTCGGAGAATAAGCCAGTCGTGTTTATTTATAAATGTCGACGGGGGCATGAAAGAAGCAAACTCAAAAGTAAAAAATGGAAAAAATACAGATGTTCCAGTGGAATTAAAAAGCATGGATGTATGCAAAAAATCATAGTGACCTTTCACAACTGTAGTGATAGATGATAACACAATCAATGTTGTAGTACTGAAATAAATAGTGATGTAACATTTCTGCAAATTTGGAATGCATAGTTTTCATACATATATTCTTTACCCCCCTCCCCCCCAATGTTTTTAAAATGTGGAAAACATACAATACTAATCCTTTCTTTACATAATAAAAGTCATTTGTGTTACTTTAAGGGAAAAGCATTGTTTGTTTGGGGAAATGTCCTATTTTGATATATTAAAAACACAGTTGGAAGCCGCTTTGGGTCCCTTTGTGGGAGAAAAGCAGGATATAAATAAATATTTATTATTAAACTACATATATATAAATTGAAGAGAAGGTCCTGAACTGTACAGAAAAAAAGCCTTAAATTATGAAAAGCCTTTTTGGCTTCCTAATTTATGGAACAGAAAAGACAAGACAAAATCAATAAATCATAGAATCATAGAGTTGGAAGAGATCTCATGGGCTATCAAGTCCAACCTCCTGCCAAGAAGCAGGAAAATTGAAAGGGGGGTGGGGGAGAAAAAAAGGGAGGGGGGGACAAATGGAACAGGGGGGGTGGGGATTCTTGTGGGGAGGAGATAGGCGGGTTCTATAGGAGTCTAGGAGAGGATACTAGTCGTGGGTGGCGTGTTAATTTCGTAATGCCTCATGGGGCGTCCCCTTTTTGTCACCCGCCGAGCTCTTACCTCTCCTTTGTGTTTCGCTCCATCGTGGTCTTCTTTTACTTGTTATTGCTGCTGGCTACTCGCGTTTTTGGTCCGCTTAAGACCGCTTCTCCGGGACTTTCACCGTCTTCGGAGGTG